TCCCGTATTTGAGGGGCTACCACAAAGAAGAGGGGGGGTCAACTTATTTTCCAAAACACCAGAAGGAACAACATATGGAAACTAATCAAGGAGACAAGCAACCTGGAATTGAAGAGAAACTTACAACAGAACAATTAACCTGTAGAAGGGCTTGCCTTCAGAAGTTGTGAGTGTTTCATCACTGGAGGTTTTTAAGAAGAAACTGGACAACCACTTGTCTGAAATGGTACAGGGTCTCCTGTGTGAAGACTAGAAGACCTCCAAAGTACTTGCTAGCTCTATTATGACTAGAAATATTGGGTTTTCAAAGCAACGTCATTCTTACAGCTCTAAGTGATGCATTTCTTCGATATATTGAGAGCAACAGGCTAGTGAATTAGAAGTAATGGTTTTGTGGAGATCCCATCTGCTATATTTTTAGAACAACCCACTGAGCTAGAGTGGTGGATTGATTAGACTCCAGTGAAGATCATAGTAAAGTAGGAATTTGAACCCAGGTCATGGGTGTTAGTTGGACACCATAACTATTATATTAGAGCTAGGCTATATGTTGCCCTCTGGATGTTCTGAACTTCAGCTCCTATCAGTTCCACCCGGAATGGGATTGTGGGATTTGTATGGTAGTTCAAAATATCTAAAAGGCCTCAGATGGGTCATCCTTACATTACCAAAACCCTACTAAAAAGGCCAAAAAAGCTAATGCAGTCCTAGATTGTATCAACAGAGGGATAAATAAGTAAATAAATAAGAAACACAATTGTTTCAAGGAAAGGGGAATACAGTATATGTAGAATCTGTACTTTTGAAATAAATAATAAAAATAAATAGCAATTGTTTGAAAGAGGAATATATAGGGAGAGTCTCACCCTCTGCTTTTGAGAAAGGGAAGGAAGGGGGGAGAAAAAGAAAAAATAATGTTTTGAGGAGAGAGAGGAATATATAGAGAGTCTCACCCCCTCAGCTTTTGACTACATCCAGGAAACAAAAAAAGGTGATTATTCCAGTTGCTGGATCAGACGGAGAAAAATTCCTTGGGAGTTTAGTTTCTTCAGGTTTCAAGAAAGTACTTTGTCTGCCTTCAGCACTGAAATGGAGAAACTGTTTATTCAGTAGCTATTAGATTTCCTCTAGGAAAGCAACGCTGAAGCTGTTTTTATTGGCGGTAAGTTAGAAGGATTTGGGCTGTAATTCTCACTGGGGCGGTCAAAACCTGTGCTTGGGCAGTGCTGCTTCCAACTACTAGTAAGTAGAGGCTCACATAACAGCATACTCCTTCCCTCCCAAAACAAATAGGAAATCTGGTATGGGGGGCACTCTTGTCCCCTCAGGCAGATGATAAATGCCAAGAGGCCACTGCGAGGCTGCACTTTCTGCTTTCTAGAGAATCGGAGCAAGGGCAAAATCAGTCTGGCCCCATTCATCACCCAGGGACAGGACAGCTGTTGCTATTCATATTTGTACCTTCCCTCCCCTCCCCTCCCCTTTCATTTTTTTTCTTTTTTTACATTCCAAATCTATTCTTTCCATCAGCGTATTTTGATTAGAATTGCAAGCCCCTTTTCTCTCGGGTTGTGTTTTAATGGCAGAGAGAAACCTTATGATAAGAAGTTTCTCCTGCAAAGGATTACAGATAGTCTTCGAGTTACGATCACAATTGAGCCCAAAATTTATGTTGCTAAGGAGCCTGGATAGTTCTACAGACTAAAGCGCTGTAATTTAACACCAGCTGTCTGCAATTAAAGTAAGTTCGAATTTTGCCAGGCTCAAGGTTGACTCAGCCTTCCATCCTTTCTAAGGTAGGTAAATTGAGGACCCAGTTTGTGGGGGCAATAAGCTGACTTTGTATAAAAATATACAAAAGTATGAAGGCTATTGCTTAACACATTGTAAGCCACCCTGAGTCTCTGGAGAAGGGTGGCATATAAATCAAATTTAAAAAAAAAACATTTGTAAAGTGTTTTTTCCTATTTTACAACTTTTCTTGCCACTGTTGTTAAGTGAATCAGTGCATTTGTTAAGTTAGTAACGTGGTTAAGTGAATCTGGCTTCCCCATTGACTTTGCTTGTCAGAAGGTCGCAAAAGCTGATCACAGGACCCCGGGACACTGCAACTGTCATAAATATGAACCAGTTGTAAGCAACTGGGGATGCTGCAACGGTCACAAGCTTGAAAAACTGTTTTTTCAGGGCCATTTGTAACTTTGAACGGACACTAAATGAACTGTTGTTAGTCGAGGACTATCTATATCTGGAAAGATGATGCGATTCTTCAGGCAAAGTAGTCCAATTCACATCACTAATGCCTCTCCTTGGAATAGCACAGTCCTTGTTGCCACCTTTTCTGGAAACGGAACTTGGTATATGAATACACTCAGCATGGTTTCTGACCGGCTTCGCTTTGAGAAATGCAAGTCCTCTTGGTAATTAGGTTGACAGATGTTATTACAGCATCAGGTTAAGTCACCTTTCTGTTTGCCTTCATCAAAGAATAGTTCCAAAGGCCTGGAATTGTGTTTCCCTGGGACGGACGTGAGAGGATTTGGAAGGAGTTGAAAGCAATCTGGTCTATATGCCTCTTGGTCCCTATGGGAAATTGTGCTTGAACTGAGACGTGGGTCTCAGATTTCATATTTCCATCTAGTTTGGATCTGTGGCGCTGACTTGTTTTGAGACTTACAGGGAACAGTGCAGCTGAGAGGTGTCTGGATGGTTTGGGGTGAGGTGGACATTTGGGAGACAGCCTGGCCAAACCAACATCTAGGATCCGGAGCCGGGAAAGGCCAGCCTTGTTGGCTTGCAAGATTAGTTTGGTCGACTGCTTTAAAGTATCAGGCTACAAAGTAGGAGAGAGTGAGTTTGAGCCCTGCCTTAGCCATGAAAGCTAGCTGGGTGACTTTGTGCCACTCACTCAGCCCAGCCCACCTGGCAGAGATGATGTGGGGAAAATAGGAGGAGGAAGTTGTGTTTGCTATGTTCACCACCTTGTGTCATTCATAAAAATAATAAAGGCAGGATACAAACACATAAAAATAATTCCTTGTGAAGTCATTTAGACAGGAAAAGGCACAGAAGTATACCTTTTGGTTATATTATGGTTCGAACAGTTTGTGGAACTCAGACATCTACTTTTTATCACTGAGTTTGACCACTGACCCAGAGGGTTGTACTTCTGAGTCAAGTGGATTGTGATCCATCAAAACTCCTGCAATAATATGTACAATTTTTAGGTTCCACTGTTGCCACTTACAATTCCACTCATATATCATTTGAATGAACTGAAGAAGATCACTGGTCTGGGGGTGAAGGATCAACATAGCAAAAATTGCACCAGTAAGAAGAGAAAGCAAAGGGGTAGGGTTTAAAAAAAAAGTTTACACTACATCACCTGAATTAAACTTACACTAAGACTACTTATCAAAGTATGGGTATTCATCAACTCCTTAATTCAGTATCTGCCTATCCACTTAACTTTAGAATGGCTGCTGCCTGTCATCACAGCTTGCGCCATCATATATTTAATTTCTGTTTAAACTCTCTTCCATTCTGTCCCACCCTCGGTAATCCATAACTTGCTTTTCCAAAGTAATCTTTCACATGCCTGATTCAATGGGGTGAAATCTATAAAACTCTGCAAAAGGGTTTGTTTAAAAGAGTTTGAAGTTTGAATACAAATTTAAAGAGGCCTCTGTGAACACCTGATAAGCAGAAAGTTTTGAAGGACTAATAATCAAAATCGGGTTGATAGAAGGCAGTGTAAAGTATGCTAGCTGGGGAATTCTGGGAGTTGAGGTCCATACACCTTAAAAGTCGCTAAGTTTGTAAAGGTCTACCAGGCAGCTGCAACTGATCATCCCAGAGATAGTGAACATCCCTTATGCATCAAGTAAGATTGACAGTCAACATCTAGCATTCAATCCTGGGCATCACTACACAGGCAGGGAAAGAATCATACTTAATACTTGGAGAGGTTCACCAGCCAGCACTGACAATCCTGGTTTAGATCAGCAACATACAATTTTGCCCACAGCAATTTTGTGTCGCACGTTAATGGCTGTGCTCCAAAAGGTGGGCAAGACCTGGTCCTCTTGTGGAGAGTGATGTAGGATTTTGTGTGTTTCAAAGAGGTGAAATTAGCATTCGGAGCTCCTGCCCCCAAGTTGATTCTTGATGGTCACAGAAGTGCATAAAGCTTAAGAGGATTGAAATGGGGAGGGACAGGGCAGCTATTCTGGCAAAGTTTAGGACATGGAGGGACCAGATGTGGCCCTCCATGCCCCTTTCTTAGATGAATCAAAAGATCTTCCAAAGAGATCCTTACTTCCAAGTGCCAGATGAACAGATGGACTGCCAGCAGTTCGATTCTCAATGGGTCAGGGTTGACTCAGCCTTCCATCCTTCCGAGGTCAGTAAAATGAGGACCCAGGTTGTTGGGGGCAAGATGCTGACTCTGTAAACCGCTTAGAGCGAGGTATCAAGCTGTATATAAATCTAAGTGCCATTGCTATTCTTCCCATATGGGAGCAACAAATTCATGGGGCAACCAAAATATTCAACCGAGCCTGCCACTGACTTCCTGGCTCAGAACCCGCAGCAGCTCATGTGAAAGCAGCAAACGCCGAAGAAGGAGACATGCGAGTCCGGTCAACTCCTTCGGAGGCATCTCCCAGGGGAATGTTTGCTCAGCCGTCCCGAAAGCTGCTTTCAATTTATCTTGCCGGAGCTGCGCTCAAGGCCAGATCGCAAACGACAAGCGGAGCTCAGCAGCGCCGGGAACGGAGCCTCAACAGCTGGGCAAGAGTCCCGGGGGCGCAGCCGAGGCAGGGAACTCCTGCGCCCTCCGCCGTTAACCCCCCAAGCCCTGGCTCCCATCCACGCCCGCCCGCCCGCCCGCCGCGGCTCCAGTTCGGCGACGGCGGCCGAGAGGGAGGCGCTAGGGCCCCGCCGTGGCCGAGGGGAGGGACCCGGCTTACGGCAGCCCCAGCCGCGGGATCCAAGCCTCGCCTAGCAGCCCGGCCGCCGGACATCCTCGCCCAGCCGCGCAGCGGTCCTCCCCGGCCATGCAAGGCGCAGCCCCGGCGGGGACAGACCAGCTCCGGGCAGGCGAAGCGGCTCGGCCGGGGCTGCCTTCGGGCCGAGCGTGACGGCCGGGGCAAGAGGCGGCGGGGCCGGAGCTGCCGAGGTCCCCGGGGCGAGGATGGGCTGAGGATGGGCCGGCAGCCTCCGCCGTCGAGGATGCTCTGGGCGGGCGCCCTGCTCCTGCTGGCGGCGCTGGGGGGCGCGGGCGGGGCGCGCAGTTGCCCCCTCCAGCTGCGCGGCTGCAAGTGCGTGGGCGAGAGGCCGAAGGGGCTGGCCCCGGCCAGGAAGCGGGTCAGCTGCAGCGGCGAGGAGCTGCGGGAGCCGCCGGCGTCGCGCTTCCTGCCCAACGGCACCGTCACCCTGTGAGTAGCGGGCCGAGGCTTAGGAAGGGGGTGGGAGGGCTGGTGGCGCCCGATCCCGCCGCTCCTGGCGCTCTGCGCGCGCTCAGAGGCTACCCGCGCAAGCTGAGCCAACCCCCGCCCTTTCCAGCTGCCGAGGCGGATTGAGCGCTCTGCATGTGCTCAGAGGCTTAGGGGGGGGGCTCGAAGGGATGGGGAGGGTTTCAGCAGAGCCACCAGCCCCGCGCCGACGGACAGCGCACAGGAATCAGATCACAATGCCCGCTGCCCGCTGGTGACCGTCGGTAATAAGGGCAGCGAAGTGGGGCCGAGGTATCCTGAGACCATTCCCCGCTCAGTGGATCAGTTGCTAGAGACGCAGGATGCAGCCTGCAGAAACGCATTGGGCACCCTGGCTAGGCACGTTAACTCAGGGGCCGCATCCTCCTGGTTGTGGAAATCAGCCGCTCGCTAGTCCTGTAAACCGGGGTCCTTAATGCGCTTTGCTTTGCTAATACGTTACGTGAGCCTGAGGGGGTCTTGATTTTGATCATTTAGATTTAGGGAGTAATATACATTGTGAGAATCTATCCCTTAAGTAATCCGCTGGGGTGCAAAGAAAGCCCCGTCTCTTTCCTAGGAAACCACTGCAAGCTCATGGGAGTTGTAGTCCGAAACAGCTGGAGGCTGCCTCAGTTTAGAAGTGGCTTCGAGTATTTATGAATTCGATGCCGTTTTATCCCACGTGTCAAGCATTCATTGCCTTAAACGCAGACATTAAGGAGTTTGAATTGGGGGAGGCGGCCCTGCAGATGGCTGTACACGTGTCTTCGCATTAAAATGCAGCAAGCCAGCCTTGCAGTGTTGCAGGGGAGGGGGAAATCCGGTTCTGGGAATTCTAGCCATCTGTCTGCCACCCTGTCTGGTTCAGGATTTAGGTGAGAGAGGGAACCTGTAACTGAAGGAGTGGAAATAAGCGGAGGCACCCCTTGTATATTTGAGGAGTTAACATAATTAGTCCCGATTTGCATACTTTCATTTTCCATTCCCTTCAAACGGTTGGCCGCTGCCCCTCAGTTCTGCGCAAGCGTCTAAAATCTGCCCACTTAGGCTATTTTGTACATCTGTGGAAGTCAACAGCAGTAATGCCACAATCTTTTACATTTTTATTGAAAGTTTCTTCTAGATCTTAAAACTCAGCATAAGTTAATGAAGAGGAAAAGCAGTGCAAAAAGAAAGAAAAAAAAAAGCAAAAGTGCAGGAAAATATAGAAAGAAATAGAGGTGTCTAATTTCTTTTAAGCAAATATAAATACAACCACAAAACTATCTCTTACTTTGTGACTACAAAAGAAAGCTCACTCTTTTCTATAATCCAGCCTTTTTTTTCCACTACTTTTTTCCTCATCGGAATCACAAATCATAAGTTCATTTTCTTTTTGTTTTATACAAAAAAGTCTACAAGGGGTTTCCACGCAGCCATAAATGTAGATATTGTTTTTTTTCTCTCTCTCTCTAATCAAAGACACTGATGCCATTATGAATGTGCTTCACAGAGATATTTTCCCAGTACAGCAAATGAACGTTTGGCAGATGGTTACTCTACGCATGTGCCAAAAGGCTCTGGATAGCTAGCTGCACGTTGCAAAGTTGGGGGGGGGAGGGTTGTGGGTGACTGTGGGGGTCTGAGGTCTGGAGGGGAGACATCTGGGCTGAGTGAAACAGTTTCTAGCCTGGGAAAGGTTACAATGATTACTTGTCATGAATGAATTGGCTTAATAGAACTGGAAACATTGTAACCCTGGTTTGCGTGAAAGCATTTAGGAAAAACAAAGCTGGCCAGGGAAATATCTTTTCAGTTCACTATGAGAATTACAGATCTATAGAAGTGATATATAATACTATTAATATTAGAGCAATCAATGATACAATGTTAAATATATTTTCTTAGTACGCTGGCGGAGTTGAAAGCCCTTATTTCTCATTGTGTGTTTAACTGTATTAGATTTTGTCCTCAATGAACTAATTAATAGAGTAGAAGGAAAATAAAATGCAACTTGAAGGGGCTGGTCCACCAACTTCAATCAGAATAGAGCTGGAGGAGACTTTTGAGGTCTTCTAGTCCAACCCCTGCTCAAGCTGGAGACCCTATACCATTTCAGACAGGTGGCTGTCCAGTCTCTTCTTAAAAACCTCCAGTGATGAAGCACCCACAACTTCTGAAGGCAAGCCCTTCCACTGGTTAATTGTCCTCACTGTTAGGAAGTTTCTCCTTAATTCCGGGATTGCTTCTCTCTTTGATTAGTTTCCATCCATTGTTGCTTATCTTGCATTCTGGTGCTTTGGAAAAGAAGTTAATCCCTTCTTTGTTGCATTTAATGGTTGGTCTGTGAAAGAAAAAGGTTAGCATCCTGGATGCTTTTTCACTTAATCCAGAGTTAGTAAAATGTGGCCCTCCAGATGTTATTCAGCTCCAATTCTTCATTTCTCTCTGCTGATTGTGCTGTCTTTGATTGTTGGAAGTTGGAGCTCAACATCTAGAAGGCCACATCGTAATTTAAGATGGCATGCAGTGCCCTCCTCTCAGGAACACAGGACTCTGCGTGTATTCAGAGGTATTCTGACACAGTTCCTTATGTGCTTTGCTGAAGTTTGGGTCCAGTTCCAACTCTGTTGTCAGTTCTTTTCTGGAGTGTTTTGAGAAAAGTTTAAAAACAGTTGTTTTTTTTTTTACATAAGTTAGCTTTCTGCTCATGAAAGCAATTTGATTTTGCTGGCAAGTTTTAATGATAATGACCCATACCCTGAGTAATTCTTTTATTACACATGGGCTTGGATGCTGGGATGCTTTTTACCATTTTATGGTGTTTCTATTGTTTATCTTTAATATAATGTGTAGAGCATTTATTTTTGAGTTGATTATAATTTGAAGGAATTACTGACTGGAATGGGCCAGCTCTCATAGCATGTAATCCAGAAATAAATTAAGGAAATAAATACATGGATAAATTTTCATAAATGCAGGATACAAGATATGTATGTAGTCTGCACATGAGCTAATCCTAGCTCATTCAACAGTCTCTGCACTATTAGATAAAGCTCAACACAGAATTTTGAGGGACATTGAGAGTTATTTCAGCCATCTGATGTGGCTAAGAGTTAATTTGAAACTCCCCAGTCATAGGGTGACATCTTAATCATTTTATACCACTTCTTCCAATTAAAGGAAATGTGTCTCTCTCTGCCCACCCACCTTGGGCCTTTTCCTTATTTTTTCTTCCACATCCACATTTTTTTTTTTGGTTGAAAGGCTAATTCTCATTATGTGCTGTTAACTCTTTGGATGATCCAATTTTGATAAATAACAAACATTCTGAAAATGATAAATAGGCATTCTGAAAATAATAGAGGTGGCGATCCAAAGACTGGATGTTAAACTCCCCCATTTCTGAGTGGTCTTGTTTGGCTCCCCAAACTCTCTCCTCACTACAGATAGTCTTCATTCATTTAGTGACTGTTCAAAGTTACAATGGCATTGAAAAAAATGACTTATGGCCATTTTTCACACTTATGACCATTACAGCATCTCCACGGTCACATGATCAAAATTTGGATGCTTGGCCTCTGGCATGTTATTTATGACAGTTGCAGTGTCCCAGGGTCATGTGATCCCCTTTTGAGAGCTTCTGACAAGCAAAGTCAATGGGGAAACCAGATTCACTTAACAACAGTGTTACTAACTTAAATCTTAAATCAGGTTTATTACAGTCAAAGACCAGAGATCAGAACAAATAAAAACACTTAAGGAATATCCAATTTAAAATTCTAGAATAATATTATAGTATATTTAGGCCATGTGTAACTGACAGATTGAATGCCAAATCGTGATTTTAATATAGATTTTATATGTTATTTATTTTATTCTAGAATTTTAAACTGGATATTTTTTGAATGTTTTGTTGTTGTTGTTCTGATCTCTGGTCTTTGACTGTAATAAACTTTATACTAACTTAAAAACTACACTGATTCACTTAACAACTGCGGCAAGAAAGATCATAAAATCTGGCAAAACTCACTTAACAACTGTCTTGCTCAGAAATGGATTTTTTGGGGCTCTATTGTGATCGTAATTTGAGGACAACCTGTATTACAGTTTCAATGCCAGCCTAACCACCTTGGGGTGGGGTGAGAAGAGAGGTCAATCATTGCATTTTAAATGTTTAATGGTAGATCATTGCACTATCCCAGAGAGTGTGGCTGGGAACGCCAGAGATGTGCCTGAAGCCCTTGGACTGTGCTTAAAGATTACGCTTTTATGTGTTGGCTCCCTCCCTTTTTGAAATCTGAGGATTGTGTATAATCCATGTCCAAAGAACATGATTCTTGCTGCTTTTTGCAAAAATTGGGTAGGCCAGGGAGGGGGCGGGCAAGCCTCTTTTCATAAAACTCTAACCTTTGTGCCAATTTTCTTTTAATGGAGGAAAGAGAGCTTATGCCAGCAAGTCCCCTTGTGTGCTTATTTTCAGTGCATTTGTAACCTTCAAGGGAAATATTGCAGCTGACTTCTGGCACCAGACGGCAAACTCAGCTTGATGCATGGAAAGTTAATACATTCAGGAGCAAAACTTGGAAAGCGGGGGGAGACATTCCTGACTTTCGCAGCTTGCTAATGAGCCTGCAGGATTCAAACAAGGCTCCAAGTTATATAGTGGAATGTTATCACGGAGTCTGTAAAATTGGATCTCAGCTCAACAGGATATCCAGAAGTCTCTTCCTGAAACAAAAAAAGGCTCTCCATGCCAGATGTGATGTAAAGCTTGCTTAAGAATAGGGTTGCAGCTCAACCCTTGACATTGTTTCTGCGCAGGGTTGCATGGCCTGGAGCATAGTTGGAAAGCACAGTGTGCCCCCCCCCACTTCAGATGGTCAAGTTCAGCTCTGCTTATGGTTCTTTGTTACTGTCTGATCCTTTTTTTTTTCTTCTCATTGCATCTTTCCAACAGAAAGGCCTTCCCCAAACTGTTG